ATGGATGTGAAGAGTGCTTTTCTAAATGGCATTTTGCAAGAAGAAGTCTATGTGTCACAACCAAAGGGCTTTGAAGATCCTCAGTACCCGGATCATGTGTACAAACTGAAGCGTGCACTGTATGGGTTAAAACAAGCTCCGAGAGCATGGTATGAACGCCTAACTGAATTTCTGGTGAAGGCTGAGTACTCTCGAGGCAGTGTGAACAAGACCTTATTTATCAAGACAGAAGGAGTACACTTGTTAATTGTGCAAATATATGTCGATGATATAATCTTTGGTGGAACCCATTCTAATCTGGTGGATAGATTTGTGGAAACCATGACAAAGGAGTTCCAGATGAGTATGGTAGGAGAGTTGAACTATTTTCTCGGTTTGCAAGTGAAGCAGTCAAACGATGGTATCTTTGTGTCATAGAGCACATATGCTCGCAATCTTGTCAAACGGTTTGAGATGGAAACGTGAAAAGTGGCTAAGACACCAATGAGCACAACAAACAAACTGTGCCGAGATGAGGAAGGGCAGAAAGTGAGTGAGAAACTGTATAGAGCGATGATCGGAAGTCTGCTCTATCTCACAGCAAGTCGCCCGGATTTGTGTTTGAGTGTTGGATTGTGGGCCCGGTACCAAGCCAACCCGATGGAGTTGCATCTCACAGCCGTCAAACGTATTATCAAATACGTGAGAGGTACACTTGATTATGGGATCTTTTATTCCTCGGAAACTAACACGAATCTTGCAGGATATTGCGATGCAGACTGGACAGGCTGTTTGGATGATCGCAAGAGCACATCAGGAGGATGCTTCTTTCTGGGGAATAACATGATCTCTTGGCACAGCAAGAAGCAGAACTGCGTGTCTCTCTCGACAGCGGAGGCTGAATATGTAGCACTTGGAAGCTGTTGCACACAGCTCTTGTGGATGCGTCAGATGCTTGCTGATTACGGTATTCTTAATAATCCCTTTCTTGTCCATTGTGATAATAAAGTGCCATTGATCTCACCAAAAATCCAGTTCAGCACTCACGCACCAAACATGTGGACATTAGACATCACTTTGTTAGGGACTTAGTTGAGGAAAAACTTGTCATTATCAAACATGTTGCCTCTGAACACCAACTTGCAGACATTTTCACCAAACCTCTTGATCTCAATGCCTTCTTGTCCCTGAGAAAGGCGTTGGGCGTTTGCGAACTGTAAACTCTTTTGTGTGTACTGAGGTGAGTGGCTGTTACTTTTGGGTGTTTGTCAATTTCATCAGAAGTCATTCATAAAAAAAAAAAAGGAAAACCTCTTGAGAACCAGTCTAAGTTGAGAAGTATCATGGCGAACATCAGTTCTTGGGATATAATCTCACTTTCCAAAATGATTGTCACTCAGGCTGGATTGGGATGCTGCAACATTTCAAGTCTGGTTCTGATCACTGACCTGATTGGATTAAGGAGCCTCTGAGGTTAGATCAAGAGTCTGATGATCAATGTCTATATCGGCCATTTTCGTGTTGGGTGTGTGTGAATGCTCCTCAGCTGAGGGTATGCAGCACAAAATCTTGGAAGTGGATAAGTGCATCGAGTCTCTGCATTGACCATGATGTAGGATCATCTTAGTCTGTAGAAAAAGTAGACACTCTGATCTTTTCCTCACAGGTACTCCTCAGACAATTCAGTGTGATTTAATGTCTCAAACTGAAGATTTATGTGAGAAACTGTGACAAGGACCAACAGTGTGAAAGCACCTTGGCTAAGGGACTGGCTGAACTGTTGAGGTATTCAAGTTGATCTGTTCATCGTTCATTTTTGTGTGAAATTTCACCTTAGTCACAGTCACTCTAGCCTTCTGCACACATCTTCTGTACTGTAATGTATGCAAATAATCTTGGTGTTCATATGTCTACGATGTTTCAAATGTACATGGGGTCCGCATCTCAGTCCTTCATTTTTGTCTAAACTCCCATGTGTGCTACACTTGTGCTGAACTGCGTAATGCATGTGCTGATTATGTGATTAAATTTCCTCTGTGGTTATTGGGCCAGTTGGACTTTACCGTATATAAACATCTCACTTTTGGCCCAGTTTAGGCCCTTATGTGTTTCCCGCTTGGTTATAAGTGCAGGCTGACGTTTCATGTGCCATCAAACCCTAGAGTGTGCGACGCAGAAATCTCTCCTGCCGCTGCAATCCTCAGCACTTCCTCATGCCGCGCAACACCAGACTTCAGGCAACCAAGCTCATAGCTTCTGCAATGGCTGCCTCTCGACGGGAACCTGATGACGATGAGACATTGGCGTCTGCCCTTCGTCGCCGCAAGCAGCAGAAGCACACCAACAAACGTCACGGCAAAGATCATGTCGTCATCTCTGACGAAGATAGCTTAAGTGAATCCTCCGGTCCGGCTGCCTACTTCGAAGATCCCGCGGAGCTCTTCTCCAATCCCTTTGCTCCATCCAGTGATGAGGAGATGCTCGATGAGTTTGTCGACGATCGCGAAGGTCCACCTCACTCGTATCAGGACCAGGAGACTCGCTATCGGGCAAATCGAGAAGCTGTGCGTGAGCAGGATCGCATGCAACCACATCTCACTCTTCCCCTCCGACCCACGAGAAACAATTTTGCTTCCGCAGCTGCTAAAGACAGATATGACTCTCTCCGGGTTCGTGCTTTTCATGATCAAAAATTTCTTCCTCTGGACGACTTCAAGTTACTTAAGGTCATGAAGATTTTGGATCGATCTGGGTTGATTTATACAGTGCTTGATGTGGATCCCTACTGTCCCAATGTTGTTTGGGAGTTCTATGCAAATCTTCCGGATCTTGAATATCGGAATGGCATCAATCTAATCTACATTCGTGGCTTGATGTTCGAATTCACGCCGGATGTCATTAATCCATATAGTTGCGTACATATAGACACAACTATATAAATATATATGTATACATATAGTATATATGTATATGAATATAATTATATAGATACATATATATGTTTACATATGTATCTATATAGTTGTGTATATATAAATACAACTATATAGATATATATGCATGTCCATGTGTATATAGTATATATAGATGCATATACATATTTACAGATGTATCTATATAGTTGCATATATATACAAAATTATATGGATATATATATGCATATTCATGTGCATAGAGTATAGATGGATGTAGCTATATAGATATATATATATATATATTTACATGTGTATTTATATGGATATATATATATAGTTATATAGATGTGAATAAAGTTAAGGTGGGTTCCGTGTGATTTAGTGTGTGAAATTAGAAGAGTAAAGTCAAATGGATCTCATATGTTTTTATATTTTATTTTTTAAATAGAAAATAAGGTAAGTGTAAAGAAAGTGTATATTTGGAAAATATGATGTAACAAAATAAGATAAGTACACCAAAACACCTAAATGCCATTGGTGGTAATAAAAAAGTTAAAAAGTGCCTTTGGTGGTAATTATCTCCTATTTAAAAAGATATAGAATGTCGTTTTTGAAATTATATAAAACCAAAATTTAGATAATAATTAAAATGAATTTCGGCTATAAACAGACCGTTTAGCCCTATTTTGCAATAACGTGTCATTTTTTACTGGTTCTTATCTGATGATGTATAAAAAAAAACTTTAAAAAACCGGTTTAATATAGTTTAATGTTTAATTTTATAGTCAATCAAACCGTTTTATAATTATATATAACCAAAATGTTTTTTAAAAAATAACAAAAACATTTTTTTTATAAAAAAAAATAGAATTGATATTTCTTAGTGTTTACCATTTCTTATGTTTATGAAATTTAGAAAAAATCTAACAAAAATGTTAAAAGAAACAAAAAAGAAAACTATTTAAAAAGTAATGGAATGTTGTTTCAAAACAAAAAAAAAACTAAAATTTCACAAAAAAACCCTAACAAAAAAGTTAAAAAAATAATATATATATATATATATCTAACTAATGGAATAACGGTATTTGTTATGTTTAAAACACATAAAACAGTGATCAAAATTGAATAAGTTCATACAAACCTTCAAAAAATTACGTCTAAAATACATAGAACAATGATCAAAATAAGTTAAAACTATTTAAACTAAATTATTTGGATACTACTATGTATTTTTTTACTCTTTTCTATTCTATATTATTTTTACGTTCATGTCTTCCAACATTAAAATACAAAGAAATATGACAAACAAATATCTCAATAATAAAAAACAAATGAATCCAAACTACTATTACATTTTAAACAATCAAATGAAAATTATATCAACCTAAGTTAACTAATTTATAATATATTTTGTTTATATATTAGTTAAGGGTAATTTAAGGTTTCAATTAATCCTAATGGGACAATGTTAGTTTAAAAATCCTAAAGGGACAATCGTTTTAAAATTATCCTATATTTACAATTATCTCAAAGAAAAAAAAAACTCATGAGCTATCTACGTCTCAGCTACAATATTAATTAGGAATGATCGAAAAAGATTGAGGAGTATCATCACTCAAACAAGCAAATACATATAAAACCAGTTTTGATACCAACCACAAAGTATTGTTCTTCGTCATGAATCATGATACTAAAAAAACATGGAAAGTCCGATTAATTATACAGTACAACAAAAGACAAGAATGCGAAGAGTTTATTATCACTTTAACAAAAAAAGGAGTTTATTATCATTATTATTATTTCTCTTTTATTGATACGCTGATGCCCAAGTTGATAAGAGGTTCGCTTCAGAACAAATTTCATCTACAAAACATAAGAAGCAAAAAAAATGTCAATCGAATTCAGCAAAGTTTTACGTCTTTCTAGAAAAATGTCATAACAACTGTATAGATTCTTTTTTTTTTTTTTTAATTCTGTTTGATAACAAACAGAGAACATGTATAATGTATTACCCTTTCTCTGGATGGTTATGCGAACTTGATATTTAGATTTGGGGAAATTATATTTTTCTACCTGGTACGAAGTCTGTAGTTGCTGAGATCCTCATCAACATTTAACATGGGGAATGTGTTGGACTTTGTAATAATCTTCTCCTTCTTTCGACAATCTCTCCGCCCATTCTATTCCCATAACATGACAAACCAGAGACTTTAAGGACGTAATGAATCGTAGGCCATCAGGAAGTTCCTTTAACTTTTGACATCCAATAAACACCAGATTATGAAGAAGGGGCATGGAGCCTTCTTCTATTATCCACTCTTCCCATTCATCTAGTCCGAAAGATAGCATCTGCAACTGAGGAAACCCGCCCCACGAGCACACCATTCTCTTCCCAGAAAAAGATTCAGAAAGCAACTGAACATTTTTCAGTTGCAGCAGCTTTTCTAGAATCGGCATCGGATCCTCCTCCAAACGACAACCTGTTAGACTTATGCTTGTAAGGTAAGAAGGGAAGTGTTGCCTATCAGGTAACCTTGGCATATATATCGTCAAATTCAGCTGTTTGAGATTCATGCAATCCAAAACAAACACTTTTTCATCTTTTGTGGGAGGAGATGGCTTGTATTTATCATATACAACAAGATTTTCAAGGTGTCTCAATTCACTTAGAGATGAAGATAGAATTTCCATACTACATCCCTCGCCTCTGATATAGATATAAAGATCTCTTAGCTGTGTCATACCTTGGAGATCCCTCACACTCCCATGCTCTGTCGAGAAATTCTCCAACGTCTCCAGCTTGACTAGATTACCCAATTCCAACTTCCTCCTATCACGTATTATTTTCAATGGCAAACAGAGGAATGTTAATTCTCGCATCTCCTTAAAGATATTGGGCACATAAACATGGTCATCAATATTTAAGTTCAAATAGAGCAGCAGTTTCAGATTCTGCATAGAAGAAGGTAGATGAGCTATATTTGTCATATATAAACTCAGATATCTCAAGTGGATGAGCTTCCCAATGCTAGAGTGTAACTTCCCTCCTTCAAACTGGTTATAAGAGACATCCAAAACCCTCATCAACTGAAACTCTAGCCAATTTATAACTAGCCGCGGAGCTTCATAAGCTTCATATGCATCATATGCTTCATATTGGTTTCTGATAAATAAGAGAGATCTAAGTTTTGGATTCTTCATCTCCATCGGATAAAATATATCATGATCATCAGGCAGATGTATCACGAGTCTACGAGATCTACAGGGAGATTTAGATTCTGCAGTTGATCTGCCACGATAAATTTGTAGGAAATTCTCTTCTTCTGCTCTAAGAAGACAAAATTCTCTCATCATGTCATGCAACTTGCATGTTTCAAATCTTGAAGTATTAGTGTCCCTTTCAGAAATAACCATGTTTCTCTTCACCAATTCTTCTATGTATCCGTATGCAACATCTCGAATGCTTGCTTCATTGTAGCACCTATGCCTTGGTATTCCTTCTGCGTCCCATTTATAGGACAATTCTCCAACATTGATTGCAGAATCTTCTTGAAAATGAGCAAGGTAGAGGAAGCAATGCTTCAAATAGATAGGCAGCTCTTCAAAGCTCTGATACAAAACATGATAAACCGAACTAGTACTTTTGTCATCAAATCCAGTCCCTCCAACGATGTGAGCACTAATATTCTCATATATCCTTTCCCACTCACGTAAAGTGCATTGTGCAGCTAACAATCCGCTTAGCACCTTAATTGCCAATGGTAGACCTCCACAATGTTTGATCATAAGCTTACCCATCGCTTCCATTTTTTCATCAACCTTATATTCTACACAACATCATCAATATATGGTGAAATTAATAAATATCTATAGGAAATATACATTGTGGAAGGAAGAGCGGATTCTGATCATCCTAAGTAAAAAGTCCTTGATAATAAACAGCATGGATTAGTTTAACTATCTTCAAAGCTTACCGATAGTGTTTTCTCTAGGAAACGCTATCCTACGTAAAATTGTCCAACCCTCTTGGAAAGTTAGAAAATCTGGTTTAAAGGTGAAACATTTTGGATCTGCTCGCAATGCGACACCCTCGTTGCGTGAAGTAATTAGTACCTTCCAACCTGTACAAAATATATCTCTTTTTTACATGACTCACTAAATAAAGGAACATAATGCTTTATGATCAGTTTCACCTTTTTCCCGTGGAAATACTGGTTTTATTCTGTCCCAGTCTTCATCTCTCCATATATCATCAAGTACAATCAAAGCCTTTTGTGTTTCCAACACTTGAAAGATATTTTCTTGAAGTTCGTCTTCTGTCATCTCTGACTTGTTATATTTTGGCCTGAGTTTTCGCAAGATCGTCTGCCACACATGCCTCCTTGTAAATTGTTGTGAGATGCACACCCACGCAAGTCCTACAAAATGACTTTTTACTGTCTCATGATTAAAAACTTGTCTTGCGAGGGTGGTTTTACCAATACCACCCATCCCGATAATAGAAACCACTTGACTAGTATCTTCCTCCACCAAATGGCCAACCAGTTTCTCAATATTCTTATCCAAACCTACAAGATGGTCTTCATTATCGCTAGAAAATGTTTGTAGCATCTCTCTTTGTCTTTCCTGCAGAGACTGCATATACCTTTCATTGGCAATGACCGTTTGTACTCCAAGACTCTGCATATGCGATTCACCTTAGCGATCCTCTTACTAAGGGCTTCCATATCAATAGCAACTTCCCTGCGATCAGCAATATTGCGAGCAATTTGTTTGATACGTTTCTTGATGTCACATGTTTTTCCAAGTTCTTCCTTTATAACAAAGGTCTCGATTATATCTTCTGCATCATAAACAATTTCTTGATCTCTTTCACAGTGTTTCTCACCATTTCACTTGTATGTTTCTTGGCATCAGCATCTTTCAAAAAACCCCTTAATGTCTCTAATTCGCTTTTGAGTTCAGTGAATTGCCCATTCACTCCCGTAAATCTATCAGATTCTCGGACAAGAAGTTCCCAAAGCTTCTCAAATCCAAACAACAAAAGTGTCTCAGCCATATGTCTCCTGCCCAAGTAGTATAAAAAGCCAAAAAAAGTCTTTAAAGGTTCAAAGTGGAGATACTTTTTTCAGCAACAAAAGTCGCTATAACAAGCTTCGATTGAGAAAAATAATCACTCAAGATCACAAAGACAGAGACAAGTGGTCTTATAGAAGTTATTGAAGAATTTTCCGAAGAAGAAAGCAGAAAGTGAAGAAAATGTCAAATGGCATACAAAACAAAATTTATTTAATCGTTGATTTCTCTCCACGGCACCAAGAAAGTCTTGTAACTTGTAAGTGTTGACTTAGAACCAATAGACTTTTCAACGGGTGTTGATGGTTTTCCCAAGTTGGTTGGTGGGATATAGAACCATAGAAGTATATATCAAAACTACTGTAGTCAAGAGTTTTTTTACAAAACGGTAGTCATTTTTTTTATCAATAGCATAACTACATAAAACGGTTTAGAAATTCAAACTAGTGGTATCAAGATTTACATATACAAGTACAATACTATCAGCATTGAAAAGGTTTAGAAGCTTAAATAGCTTTTTACTTATTATACGAATTAAATATCGTTTCAATTTCATTTTTTTTTTAAAGAGTTGACTTGAAGGAAATTTAGCAGTAGTAAACACGATTTTAATAGTTTAACACATAACTTATGGGTATTAATGGCTATGATATTCTGTGTAATATATAAGTCAGATCAAAATATCTTTTCACTTTGCTTTTGTAATCCTAGAAAAAAAAATTGACGGCTAAAAAGAAGGTGAATAGTAAAAAAATCAAATAAAATCAAATCAAGTTCTGTTGACAAATTGTTATAAATAACCCATAATTTGATAAACTGTGAATTTGGATAATAATTGAATATTGAGGACACATTTTTGTAAAGAGTATTTTGTCTTTTATCAAAATCTTGGATTACAAAAAGTCTCTTATAGGATAAAATAATCAAATTTTTCCTTCCTCTTGTTCTAGCGATATAATTCTAATGTTTTGTTTTGTGTTGTTCTCTTATTATTTTTGTTGTAATATTTCTCTCCAAAGATTTTTCAATAGAATAGTTGCAATGGTTAAGAAATAACAATAATTCCAACAGCTGTAATGGTTAAATAACTATAAATTCAAGAGTTGAAATATTAAATAAAATAACCTTAAATTCAAGAATTGTAATGGTTGAATAAATGAGTTATAACACTTAAATTTCCAACATTTTTGATTAGGTTGGAGATTTAAATATAATCATAGATTCATTAAATAAACAACACATATACTATTTTTATGTATAAATAAAAATATTGTGATGATTGAATACCCATCTTAGTGATATTACGCATTTAAAATTCCCTAGAATCAGGATGTCTTATAAATTGAATTTTTTGAACTCATTATTGGCACATGAAGACAACACACACAAATTTCAACACTATCCTAAGTGTTTACATTTGATACTTTAATTTTATAACCCATGTGTTCATATCCATTCATGAGCATATACAAAGTCAAGTCCTAGCTTTTTAAAGCCGCAACACTTCACATTTATATAGCTATATATTTTTAATTTTTCACCTGAAAAATGCAATTTGTCGAAAGATCTATTGAGAAGAAACCTTCATCCTAATATTTTCTTGTTGACCTAAACATTTACTTAGGGATAATATAACCTTGTGCATTAATCTTTAAATGCAGGCTTTCGACATTGAATTCAGCCTCTAACGTTGTATTAAAATGTGATTGGATATCCCATCATTAAATATTTCAAATGGACTTTAATCCCCTTTAGCCGACTTGGTCACCGAATCCCTAGGTAATTCTTTTGTCAAGTGATTCACTAAATTCTGTTGAGACCGAAAAAACCTTATGGTAATTATCCCATAAGTGATCAGCTCACGTACTGTGCTATATCTAACGTAGTTGTCGCGACTTACCACTATACCCTTGCCTATAAGTCTTAGATAAAGTAGCTTGACTGTCATAATAGATAGAAATGGATGATACCGGTTTTGGCCACAACAGAACCTCCTAGATTAAGTTTCTTAGCCATTCTGCCTCTCTACCAGCGGTTGCTAATGCTACGAATTGACTTGATAGTCGAATTTGTAATAAAAGTTTGTTTCTTTGAGCCCCATGAAATAACACCTCCCCCAAGCAATAACCCACAGCCGCTTGTAGAAGATTGATCTTCTAGATAGGTGATCAACTTGCATCTGAATACCCTTCTAGGACTGAAGGAAATCCGACAAATATCAAACCATAATTTATGGTTCCTTTCAAATACTTGAACACTTGTCCTAAAGCTTGCCAATGATGAGTACTAGGATTGCTAGTATTTTTACTCATTCTTCCTACATCATAAGCTATATCTGGTCTAATGCTTGTCCTTACATACATTAAGAAACCATTTAGTTGTGGCTACTCAAGTTGTGATTTCGCTTTTCCCGTTTTAGGCATAAGATTTACACTTGCATCCATGGGAGTGCTCGTTGGAGAACAGTTCTCACAGTTGAACCTCTTAAGCACTTTTTCAATGTAATGAGATAGTGTCAAAGATAGTCCTATATTTTCACGCATGATTATAGTTCCGAAAATCACATCCACCTCCCTTATTTTTTTCATGGCAATACTTGATGACAAAAACGATTTGGTAAGCTCTACTTGTTTAAGGTTGGTGTCAAAGAATAACATGTCATCAACATACAAGCAAATGATTACTCTATTACTATCCTCATCAAATTTGTTATATAAACACTTGTCCAACTGATTTAACTTGAATCCATTTGAAAAGAAAATTTCATCAAACCTTTGATGCATTTACTTTGGTGCTTACTTTAGCCCATACAATGACTTTATCAATTTACAGAGCTCAACCTCATTACCAGGCATGATAAACCCTTTGGGTTATTTCATTTAGACCTCTTCTTCTAATACACCATTCATAAAAATGCCATTTTGATATCGAATCACGAGATTATTAATAGCCGCAAAAGCAACAATAATATTATAGAAGAGATCCTAGCAACATGAGCATAGGTATCAAAGTAATCAATACCTTCACTTTGTTTAAAGCCTTGGATAGCCAATTATACTTTGAACTTATTGATTGTTTACTTTCATCTTTTTTTTTTGAAGATTCACTTGCAGCCTAAAGACTTGCAACCATGTGGGAGTTCTCTTAAGACCCATGTATTATTTCTCATGATGGAGTCCATCTCATCATTTACTGCTATTTTCCAAAACACAACATCTTAAGACTTGATAGCCTCATAAAAAATCCTAGGATCCTCATCAACAAGATAACAATCTCATCTCTTGACCATTCAACTAAATAAAGTTGAAAATCAGAACCAAATAATTTTTTGATTCTTCCTTATTTGTTCTTACGAGCATATGTGACTCGTTAGGAGGCACGAATGAATCGTCTCCTTTCCTTGTTATACTTGGACTATGAGCCAAATCTGGTGGTCTAGGTATAGATGAAAAATGATTTTAATCAAATATTGCATGTCTTGACTCAATTACAACATGAAACGATATAATCACTAAATTCTCTGACATTAAACCTATAAGCCTTGGAATTCTCAGTATATCTAATAAAATTGCAATCAATACCTCTTTCCCCCAAAAGTTTTAATCTTGGGTTGGGGTAGTCTAACGACCGCCTTATTATCCTAAACTCAAAGATAGTTCTCGTTTGGTTTTTTTTTTTGTACTAAAGCTCATATCGGGTAACTTTGTGATTTTTCTTAGGAATCCTATTTAATAAATACCACACGGTTAACTTGGCTCCACCCCAAAATCCGTCACTTAATCCCGAGTATGATAACATGGAATTAACAATTTCCTTTAGGAGCGTTTTTCCTCTCAAATGCACCATTTTGTTGTGGTGTATACGGAGCTGTAGTCTCATGTATAATGCCTAGGGATTGGAAATACGCAGGATCATAATACTCCCCACCTCTATCAGTACGTAATACCTTAATTAAGCCATTTTGTTATAATTCAACCTCATTTTTATAAACCTTAAATTTATCTAGGACCTCATCTTTAGCATACAATAAATATACATAACAAAAAAGGTATGATCATTAATGAATGTGATGAAATACTTCTTATTTTCTAAAGATGGTGTAGCATGCAAGTCACATAGATCACTATGTATAAGTCCAAGCACCACAAAATTTAATGTGGTTCACCAATGTATTGGCTATGTCCACAAGCAAAAGAGACTGATTTATTTTTCAGAGAAAATAGAACTTTTCTCAATAATACAATAGAGGGTGAGATGAATAATAGTATTTATAGGGAAACCCTTAATTCAATCCTTAAATGGATTCAGCCTAAACTCCTTGACCCAAACTGATTCACAGCATATTCAACAAATCTTCACCTTGACTTGAATCCTCCAAACATGTGTACCAGGGGCACTGTTTCAATGCTAGATGTATCAGACTTCTCTTTTGCCTCAGATGTCCTCTTGGACCAAACGCTCCTTGGGTCTAGACACCCCTTAGGGCCAGACTAACATCTTGTGATGTTCAATAAGTCCAAACAATGGTTAAACTTGCTATGAGAAACTGGGTTTGTGAACATATCAGCAGGGTTATTAGCAATCACAAGCTTCTTCACATTAATCTTCTTCTCACCTCTCAGGAAATGATAATTTACATCAATATGCTTGGTTCTTTCATGAAGAACTTGATCTTTGGCTTAACAAATTGCACTTAAACTGTCACAGTACACTGTAGCCTGATCATGATACAAAACAAGATCACTAACCAGACTCTTCAACCAGATACCTACTTTTGCTGCTTTTGTCAAAATCATGTACTCTGCTTCAGTAGTAGACGAAGTCATTGTAGGTTGCAAAGTTGTTTTCCTGCTAATAACAGAGTCAGCTAATTAAGGTAAACACGTAGCCAGCATAATTAGAATCAGAATAGCCTGTAACTTGACACGAACGCTCACCCCTATAGATGAGACCAACATCAGATGTACCTCCAAGCTACCAAAA